GATCCCCTGGAGAAGGGAATGGCAACCCACTCCAGTATTCCTGCCTGGAGAATCCCATGGACAGAGGAGCCTGGTGGGCTACAGTCCGTGGGGTTGCAGAGTCAGACACGACCAAGCGACTAACACACACAAGAGAAAGAGGCAATGATGTAAAGCGCATGGAGCCACTCTTCTCGTTTGTCTTTAATATGGAGTCAGACTTGAGCATGTCTGCAAACTGAGATGAAGGAATCCAGGAAGAGGGAAAGATCTAAGGTACAAGCCTGAAGGATTAAGGTGATTAGGCAGGTCTCTGAGATGGTGGAAGGGAAAGATCTGTAGACGGGGGTCTTTCCTTGGAAAGGTGACTAGGAGCGCTCTTGACACTGGGTGAAGGAGGAGAATGAGATGAATGTTGCCTAAGATATTACAGACAAGTTTAGTAATGGTGGGTGGGAAGTTGAAAGAGCCCACACCACACATCACTATTTTCTGCAGCAGAGTAGGAAGTTAATTATTTGTTCGGGATGGATGATCAGGAATGGGCTAAGAAGCCCCAGCAGACACTAAGGTAAATGAAGCAAAGCTCATGCATTGAGACACCTGCTTAGAAATGAATCCATCTAATTTCTGCCATCAGGCTTGGATTCTGGTATGAAGAACTGGAGTCTCAAACTGACTCAGGTTAAAATTAGGGTCAAAGCGAGGATTTAGTCAGATCTCTCCTAAAGAGAGACCAAATAAAGTCGGGTAAAAAGGCAGGTGTCCACAGGTGTCTACTACTGACTCAAACTGATCTCCCCCTGGGGTTTTAAATGGTCCCCATAAGAACAGAAGTAGTCCAGCTAGAGTTATAAGGCCCAGGGCAGCTTAAAGGCAGTAACATCCACAATTACAGCCTTTTCAAGCACTTCAAACATATTAAGTACTATTGAGGTATAAAAACAAAAAAATCCCTTCTCTTTATAAACTACACATTAAGTTATTAAGAGGCATACAGTCTGAAATTTGTATGTATGCCCAAGAAGGCCTTACAAAATGCTTAAAGCCTGACATGGGTTCATACTTCCTTGAAACAGAATAAGCAATGTTGACAGATCCTGCACTTACCCAATCCCTTGGCTTGGTGTTTAATGTGTGTGTGTGTGCGTGTGTGTGAGTCACTCAGTGTTTGCCTCTTTGCAACCCCATGGACTATAGCCCACCAGGCTTCTCTGTCCACGTAATTCGCCAGGGAAGAATTACTGGAGTGGACTGCCATTCCCTTCTCCAGGGGATCTTCCCAACCCAGGGACTGAACCCAGGTCTCCCACAATTGCAGTCAGATTCTTTACCACTTGAGCCATTAAATTCAATCCTAATTTAAATCCTAATTTAAATCTCAAACCCTGGGATTGACCAGATTCTGGTGGCTCAGTGTTAAGTAATCGGCCTGCAATGCAGAAGACACAAGATGAGGGTTCAATCCCTGGGTCGGGAAGATACCCTGGAGGAGGAAATAGCAACCACTCCAGTATCCTTGCCTGAAAAATCCCATGGATGGAGGAGTCTGGTAGACTACAGTCCATGGGGTCGCAAAGAGTAGGATACAAATGAGCAAGTGAGCACACACACACCATGGAGATGGAATAAAATATTCAGAGCAGGGTGCAGCTTCTAATTCCTGTTTCATGTAACCACAGAGAATGTTCCATGTAACCACAGAGAATGAAAATCCAGATTCTACTGCCTTAGTCTAGGTATACCACAATCAAATTTCCCGAGTGCTCTATACATTTTTTCACTTTAGTACTACAATGTGTTTAGCAAAACTGATCCTACACCATCATTCTTGTTCTTTTATCATAGAAGAAATATCAGCACTAGTACACAGAATGAAATTTGCTTTATCACAACCCAAGAGTGTGTGATATTAGGCTGAGCCACAAGGTACAAAAATACAGAAATTTTTATCTTGTATCAATACATACGACAGCAAAATAACCTAAAAGAGGGATAAAATGGTTACCTGAAAACTATGTCTCTAAAAGAAGATGAATGTATTTTTTTAAAATGACGCCTATACTAACTAGAGTTGATTTAATATTAAGGAATGCAAACTTAGTTTTAATAATGCATTTTGGATTTAGAATGTTTATCAATTTGGGGGGAACCACCTATTTCTCATCTTTAGCACCTGGCCTTTCAAATCTTCATTAACAACTCAGTGGCAAACATAAAACATATGCCAAAATACAATGACAGCACAAGCAAGTGTCCTAATAGTAGGCATCTAGTGCAATGCTTTAGCACCCTGCCTCTCAACTGCTGGGTGGACCCGGAAATAAGTACATTTAAGGAGGCATTTACTTCCTTAAAAATGGCAAATTGTGGTTCGAAGTAATATATCTGCTAGGAGAAAAGAACAGTTTGGTTTAAGCCAGTCAAATTACTACTAGACTCAGACAACAAAAATGTCTCAAAATCATGTGTACCCGTGATTTTAAAAAATCACTTTAAACAAAGAAAAATCATTCAGCCACTGAAAAGACGGTTCCCATCAGTGTGATTATCTGAGTAACCTTTCATTTACCAGTTAGTGAATATCACTGAAACTCATGATGTGCTTTCAAACAATGTATAATTGGGCAGATGGGGGAGGGAGGAGGAAAGGAGAATAGTAATAATTCATTCTGCATCTTGTAAACCAAAACAGAAAACTGTATTGTGCCTGTAATTAAAAGGAATGGGCATTTTAGATAACTTCCCTTACTATAAAGAGCAACTGAATCTGTAGTGGCTACCAGGAAATAGCCTTTGACCACCAATCATTTATAAGTGAAACCAACAGCAAAATCAAACCTGAGTACAAATAAACGTACTAATCCATGACTTTCTTACTCATTCGAGAATCTAAATTCAGCCTTCCAAATACTTGGGTTTATAATTGCTTGTGTTCTGAAATGTAACATTTCTTCCTACATGCTCTTTTAAAACTACATATTAAACACAAAAACACAGTATAGCTTATGACAAACATTATCCCTTCCTTTTTATATTCAACACTTAACAACTCAAATGTATAATACCTCTGTTTTGGCTTTTTTTTTTTTAGATCATTATTAACTAAGTACAATAAAAGACCATAAATTCTGAATTCTAAGACTCTGGAGGGACTTGAGCACATTAATATTGCATGTAAATGAATGCTAATCATACGTGATCATACCTGTTACTAAAGGAGGCCTAATTATTTCTATCCTCAAAAGTATTATTCTAGCAGTTTTTTCTAATCTACTTGAAAATAGGACCCTTGTTTTTAAAACAGTGCATGATTCACATTTTTTATGCTTCAAACTAGCTTTGAGACCGTCGGTCTGAATTAGTAATATTTTATTACAAATTCATAACCGGGTTCAGTATAAGGCTTTCTGATCATACAACAGGTTTCTGAAAGCAGTATTATCTGAGCTATAATGATGGTAACAGGCAACAAGGCGTTAAGGATGATAACAGAAAACACTACCTTCCCTAATAATAGAGAGTGATTATTAAGAGCTCCAACATCCCAGGAGGTTTCACAGAGCAGGAAGGAGCAAAGTCGGGACATGGGGCATTTTGTAAACAAAGCGCATTTTGTAAAAAAAAAAAAACTTGAAGTCACAAGCCTTCACGAATGGTAGAGGGAGCCTAATAACCCATTTAAAATCTAATTAATTTAGCATTCCAGAATTAAATGTAACAACTGCTTGGTACTACTACTCTAACTCAATTCTGAATTTTATAAAAAGTTCACAACAGAATGTATAGATGTGAAGTGTGACGGGCACTATGCTGCCGCTGCTACGGCGCTTCAGTCGTGTCCGACTCTGTGCGACCCCAGAGACGCCAGCCCACCAGGCTCCGCCGTCCCTGGGATTCTCCAGGCAAGAACACTGGAGTGGGGTGCCATTTCCTTCTCCAATGCGTGCAAGTGGAAAGTGAAAGTGAAAGTGAAGTCGTGTACGACTCTTAGCGACCCCACGGACTGCAGCCCACCAGGCTCCTCCGTCCGTGCGATTTTCCAGGCAAGAGCACTGGAGTGGGGTGCCATCGCCTTCTCCAGACAGGCACTACAGAGCCACGAAAATTCCTATCCCTTCCTCAGTTTTTACAGGCGAAGCACACGTTTCAAAAAAGCGAAATGGATTCCAAAAGCTTGAGGGGCCAAAACGCCTTTGGCGTTGAAAGACACCAAATCCCACTCTACCGCAAATGTGTTTTGACTAGAGGTTAGCAGCTGCATACTTGAAGCGAAATCTGGATTACTTTTAAAACGGTTCCCCTAAATAAAGTAGGAAAACTTGAACGCGCAATTTAGACTGTATTGAAGTGGCTGATGGTGGTGGGGCATGGGGGTAGAGTTCCATCCAGTAAGCTATATTTCTAGGGTTTGAAAAAAAAAAAAAAGCAGCCAGAGAATCTTCTGATTAAACGCTGAGTTGGAAATTAAACTTAATTGTGTCCTTTACGTCCCCTTAACTCCTATGTTCGTGTGGGAGGGCAAACGCAGGAAACCCCTTCTGGCAGACTTTGCCAAAATGCGTACTTGCATCACAAGAGGCTCGGGCCCTCCTACTCTCCTTCCTTCAACCCCCAAAACGTTTAAAGCAGGGGGAGACACAGGGGTACGAAAGAGGGGTACCCTAGCAGCTGCCCACCCCTCGCCTCCGGGCGCCCCTTCTCTCCACAGCTAATTTTTGCGCGAGGTGTACGGTTGGAGTCTTCCTCGGCGGTGGCAAACAGGCGAAGATGTGCCCCGCTCTCATCACCCAGGGCGAAGAGGAAGAGGAGGGAAAGGAAGAAAGGAAGGGGGTGCCGATTACCCGCCGGGCCCCCCCGCGTCAGCCCCCGGGGCGTGCAGGGGCCCGCTCGTCCCGCGCCCCGGCCACCCTCTCCGGGGAGCCGCGGGGCCAGCCGGGGCGCAGCCCACACACAGCCGCCCGAGCGCCTCTGGGGCGCCGAGACCCACGCTGCAGAACCAAGAGCTGGTGACCACTCACCGCTGCGCAGCGAGCTCAGCAGCAGAAGCACGACCAGGGGCCACATCTCCGCGCCCGCCGCCGCCGCCGCCGCCGCCGCCGGCGTCTGGAGCAGGCGCCGCCGCAGACACAGGCAGGACCCGCCGCCACCTCCCGTCACACGCAGGACCCGCTGCCCGGGCTGCCCGGCCGCGCGCACGCGCGCTCCCGCCGCCCCACACCCGCGTGGGCCGCACACGCGCACTCAGCCTCGCCTCCGCCCCGCCTCGGTGGCTGCTGTCGCCGCGCCCTCCAGACAGACACGCAGCTTCCAGCTCCCGCTCCCGCCTGCTCCCTGGCGGGGGCGCGCGCGGGGCTTCGCGGTCACGCCCCGCGGCCCCCGGCCGCCTCCGCTCGCGTCAGCGTCCACACGCCGGCCCCCCGACCCCCGCTGGAGGCGGAGCGTGTGTTCTCCCGCTCACCGGGGGCCTCGCTGCACCCGTCCCCGTCTGCCTTTCCCCTTTTACCTTCCTGGGCACTCCCTATCTCAGCTCCGCGGCTCCTCTCCTGCGCTCGCACCCAGCCTCCCGCTTCAGGAGCCCCCTCCCCAGGCGCCACCTCGGAGCCCCCGCCCCTCTGGAGCCCGCGATCGCTCGCCTCTCCCTTCATCCAGCGTCTCCCGCGCGGTGGGACCTCCGCGGCTGCACGCTTCTCACCTCGCTCCATTTCCCCCCAGAGCTCCGGCGCCTGCAGTGGGAGCGCACACCGCGCGGGGGCGTCTCGACACTTCCCCCGCCGCCGGCAGCGAGCCCGCGGGGACCACGCCTGGGGCAGGTCGCAGGAGGCCGCGTGTCCGCGGGGGACTTCCGCTCGCCGCTCGCGGGCTGCCGGGCCCTCCGGGCTTCACCGCGCGTCCCGTCTGCTTTGGATTTTCCCGGCTGCTCTCAGATCCTCCGTTCTTTTTCTCGCCTAGTTCTGGAATGTTTTTCAACCTTTGAAGGGGATCACCCAAGTTTCCATCCGTGGTGCTGAACCCTTTGCTGTTGTTCAGTCTCTGAGTCCTGATGCTGAAACCCTAGCAGCCATCAGGGGTGGTCGCAACGGTTAGCAGAAGTATCCCCGATGCCCCTTCCTGCAAAGTCACTGGGCCTGGTTAGTGACCTCGCAGTGGTCCCTCGTCTATGCTGTTTGAGTTTCACTTGCTTAAAAAATGGGTTCAAAGTGTGTCCCCAAGCCACACTGTGGACAAGGTCTTTGATTAGCTCTCTGAATCACACAGACCACGTCATTTATAGTGAAGCGAATTCCCTTTTAGAAGTCCCTTTAACATTTACCCTAGCTGATGAAAATGCTTGCTGAAAAGTCATGCTTGGTGACTACTGTATTGGCGTGCATCTTGTCAACTTAAAATGTACATGCAATCTAAATGTTGAGCGTTAGGTTTTACTCAGCGGAAATTTTTAGAAGGTAACCCAGGGAGGGAACATCTCAAGTAATCCGGAGAGAACTGCGGCAGGCATGCGAGGGAGGAGGAGCCAGGTTACATAGAAGCTTTGCAACAAAGGGCAGGTAGTCTGAACATGGGAAGGTTATTGTTAATTAAAGAAAACCAGATATCCCAAGTTAAGGAATTTAGTACTTTTCTATGTATGGAAGGGGTTTCCCTGGTGGTTCAGAGGTAACAAATCTTCCTGCCAGTGCAGGACACTGGGGTGTGATCTGTGGGTTTGATCAGTGGGTGGGGAAGATCCCCTGGAGAAGGAAATGGCAACCGTTTCCCAGTATTCTTGCCTGGGAAATTCCTTGGACAGAAGAACCTGCTGGGCTGCAGTCGGTGGGGTTGGGTAGCAAAGAGTCAGACACAACTTAGTGACTAAACCAGAACAACTGTGTATGGGAAGATGCAAGTCTGGGCTCACTGAAATCATTCCTTTCATAGGCACCTCAGCTATCTGGGGAGAAGGCAATGGCACCCCACTTCAGTACTCTTGCCTGGGAAATCCCATGGACAGAGGGCTGCAGTCCATGGGGTCTCAAAGAGTCGGACAGGACTGAGCGACTTCACTTTCCCTTTTCACTTTCATGCATTGGAGAAGGAAATGGCAACCCACTCCAGTGTTCTTGCCTGGAGAATCGCAGGGACGGGGGGAGCCTGGTGGGCTGCCGTGTCTGGGGTCTCCCAGAGTTGGGCACGACTGAAGCGCCACCGCCGCCGCCGCCGCCGCAGCAGCAGCAGCAGCTATCTGGGGCCAGCATCCTGTGTTTTCATTCCTGAGCTTCCTTTCCTCGGGGCTCGGAGTAGAGTGTGGCGACAGTCTGCTGGCTGCAAGATAGCAAGTATTCGTCCACCTGAGTGTGAACTGGATGGGTACCATCGCTGATGACTGTGACATCCTTGTGTACCAGCATGGCAGGAAGTATTCCATTTCTCAATATCCACTGCTCCCTTGGTTGTTTTTCACTCACCCGATGGAAAACAAAGGAACTTCCCACCACAATATTCCAGTCCTCCAAATCCTCTTCCCATGGTGTCTCCTTCACTGCATCCCCATAGTAATAAAATCCAGGAAATAAAACTACCACTCTCTGACCTTCTGTAGCATTGTATTATATATACTGCGTAACTTTCCCTTTGATTGTTTTGTGTGTGTGTGTGTGTGTAAATCTCTTCCCCACAGCTTTATCCATTTTTTACAGTCAGAGAGGGTAGAATAAGTATTCCCTTCTCCAAGACTTCCTGTTGAACTAGGCAAACAGAAGGGGTTTTAATAAACGTGTTGATGTGACTTGAGGCAAGCGTTGCTCCAGTGAAATTTGATTGTTTTTTAATGATTAAAAAAAGAATGAAAGAAAGAAAAAACAATTGCCTGGCAGATATCTGACTAAAACAATGGTTAATAATTATGATGGTAATGATTTGAATGACAGCTTTGACACCCTGAGGCTACCAAAGGGACTGATGGATTCTCCTCCAACTGCTGCTTCTGTGGATACAAAAGAATCATCCATCAGACTTTGAGCATTCGGGACATTGTGTATCACAGAGCAGCTGGTTGGCTAAATAAGGCTGTCAGCTGTCCCTGAGGTCCACCAACCCCCCTAGAGCTGAAGAATGACCGGGGAGGACTGTCCCCAACCTTCAGAGGTGGAGATCAGTGACGCTCTGTCTGATGTGGGAACCGCTGATGTCACGTGTTAAGGTAGTTTGTGAAGAAAATGGAATAGCTTAAGTCAGGTGAATGAGAGGCCACCTGGGTGAGCACCCTTGCTTTGGGAATCTGACCAGGATGTGTCTTGATGGCGGGGCATGAGGAGGTCTGTTCCAGAAGAGACGATCCAAATCAACCTACCTAGGTTTGATGCCTTTCTCTTTGAGATAACCTTGGGCTCCTTTCTCAAGTATCTAAGCACCTCATAGCTGTGTTTCCCTTTTAACATTTGCAAGCATTTTTTGGGAGGGATTTTGAGCTCATCTTATCTTTACATAAGGAGTTTTCTTGGATAGAAAGCAAGAGAGTAATGCATAGAATGTTTTGAACAGAGGTAATACACATCAGGTATACTACCTAAATCTTCACAACAGCTTTGGAATGGATTTTATGATCTTCATTTCAGTGACGAAGAATCAAAGGGAAAGAGGGATGATGCCTACGGTCCTTTGTGTCTAATTCACATTCCCTCTTTTTCCTACTTTTTCTTTTCACTCTGTAACATCAAAGATGTTATAGCTTCCCCTTCATAGATAAATAAACTCACAAGCCCAAACAATTGCTACCCTTTCCCATCATCACTACCCTTACAGATAAGGAAGGTGAACTTTGCTCAGGGAGGGGGTGGTGGTTAGTCTGACTCCAAGGCCAGCGAAAATGTTCACAAGCTTCCCTTCTCAATTCATGGTCAGCTCCCCTTTCTTTCACTTTCTATCTTGACAGTACATCTACTTTTATCTTCCTCCCCAAACTATACCTACGTCCTACCACATGGCCCATATTGTTAGGATGTTATCTAACAATTTGTATTGATACAGTTGTAACCTTACTACAGTTTTTCATTCAACTAGAACTTTTTTCTGTTCCCGCATTGGTGTGCCATGCATGATCCTTGATACTCTGGAGAGTTAGCTCAGCACTGCACCTGCCTAACCGTGCAAGGCCTATACTTTGTGGAGGGCTAGATACACCTTTTTATATAAGTGAACCTACATCACATGATCCCACAGTAGACCAAAGCCCAGGATTCCCCCGGTGTAAGTTCAGGGCCCCTTCTGTGTATTTTCTGTTGTTTGGTGCATATCAGTTACTTTGTTGTATTAAAAATACCTGTTTGTGCTGCTTTCTTCCTGTTCAGTAGTAACTCCTTCCTAAGCTCAAGAGGCCACATGAATCTTGTTCTCTGCTAGCCCCACTGCCTGGCACACAAGAGGTGATCAAAAATCGGCCATTAAAATGATGAATGAAAGAATGATCAATAACCTCTCCAGGCCAGGAACTCTGTTTTCCATGATTGTCTGGTAAGGTACCCATCGTAAGGGGATGCTCGATGAACTGTACTAACGAGCTAACCCTGATGCTTGTCTGACACATCAGAGGCTTTTATCACCACTAAGCTCCATTTGAGGGCTTATCAGTCATCAAGTTAGCTGCAGTATATGATGAATATTATCTCTCTTAGTGTTTCTGAATATAACTTGAGGTGGGGAGCTATTTGTAATGACGATTCTTGCATTTTTAACACTTCTGGCCAATGTGATCCTAGCTAATTTTCATGCCCCGGTCAAGCACTTTACACCCAGAACAATGGACTTTTCCTTGCCGGGACTATTCTATTTTCAGGCTTCTTGTGTCTCAGTCATACTGTTCCCTCTTCCTCATGTGTCCTCCCCCACATTTTTTCCATCTCTCTTCAAGCCAAAGAATTCCAACTCATCCTTCAAGACTAAGATCAAATTTTACCTCCTCTAAGTAGCCTTTCTCAACCTTATTTTTCCCTTTTCTCTTAAGTCTCTCTACCACTTTTAAGGTCTAATGACCTTTTTTATTATACTTTGCTCATGCCTCAATAAACATCGTGGCATGACATAGTTGTGTTTGTGACACAGTAAAATGTGTCAATATATATTTCTTTCTATATACCTGTCCTCTTCTATCATGTTATCAATGGAAAAAAGGAAATGTTTCTGGGTCTATTTGTATCTCCAGGGTCTGACACAGTACCTGGTTGAGTTCTAAGGGCTCTGTGTATGTTAAACCAAACAGGAGAACTCAATGTGCTATGTATGTACAGAAACGCCCCATAGCATGCTGAAACACATTAGCCTAAGTCTGCGTTATAGCCATGTACCACCAGCCAACCTTGGACAAGTTATATAATCTTTCTGAGTCCTATCTTTCTCTCCTCATTTTAAAAGTTAGATGATAAACTGATACAAATAATAGAAATTAACCCTTCAAGTTGACTTGAGAATTTAATAAGTTAACACTTTTATAGTTACATGGAGCTGTGTACACTGTAATCACACAATCAGTATCAGCCCTTAGGATTACAATCTTCTTCCAGTAAGATGGGTCTCCTAGAAGGGAAGTGAAAAGTATTTCAAAAGGATCCCCAACCGCTGATCTGGAGCCTTGAAAAAGCATTGTAGTTGGTGAACTATCTACAGTTTTGACTTAAGCTAGAGGCACATGTCTGCGCCCAGTGGGAAGTCCTTAATCCTCTTGCTCTTCTGCACGCTGTGTTGGTGATTGAACGCTGAGGATCCCTTGTCTCTCTCACCTAGCTCAGGGCCCAGTGTCCTAGGATATTACTTTAATTTCACCCAGTTATTGAAGCACAGGTGGTGGTTTAGTTGCTAAGTCATGTCCGACTCGTGTGACCCCTGGACTATAGCCCCCAGGCCCCTCTGTCCATGGGATTCTCCAGGCAAGAATACTGGAGTGGCTTGCCGTTTCCTTCTCTAGGGGATCTTCCCGAGCTGGGGATCAAACCCAGGTCTCCTGTTTTTCAGGCAGAGTCTTTACCTGCTGGGCCACCAGGAGAGCACAGTAGTCGTGGTCACTGAATAAACCTGGGTAGCAATGAGGAGCTGTGTCCTCTGGGTTTGGGCTGGGCAGCTGAAAAATATCCATGCGTGGCTGGGGAGATGGATTTGGTGAGGGAAACGGAAGGAAGGCTCCAACAGCAGGACATGGTCTTCTTCCTCACCTGTGGTTCAGTTAGAGGTGAAGGCTGGAAATAGAAGCTGCCTCCCTGGAGGAGGACGGTAGTAGGACTGAAGGTTTCCGGTATGAGATATCCTACCAGAGAGATGACAACCTGCTCTGGTGCGAATTTCCCTGCAGGCGTCAGACGTGCACAGGCTTGTGTTGCTTGGGTCACGAGGAAGCGCAGCGCGTCCTGCTCTTCCTGCTGCTGCTGCTGGCCCATCCTCCTGACAGCTGGTAAGTGCTAGATAAAGACAGCCTCCACATTAGGCTGCAAAACTGCCGCAGGCTTATTTCTTTAAGAGCACATGACTTGTGGGGTCCTGGGAAGGCCGCTTGTATCTTGTCTATCTCCCCTCTATGAGGGCAGGGAACACGCAGATGGGGGTCACCTTGGGTACCAGACGCCTCCATGCCAGTGCGTCATTTCCTGTCACTGAGGGTGACGCGTGCCTGCTCAGTCGTGTCTGACTCTTTGCGGCGACCCCACGGACGGTAACCCACCAGGCTTCTCTGTCCATGGGGTTCTCCAGGCAAGAGCACTGGAGTGGGTTTCCCTTTCCTCCTCCAGGGGATCTCACCAACGCAGGGATCAAACCCGCATCTGAGCCTCTTGCACTGCAGGCAGATTCTATCACTACCAGAACAAATTACCACAAACGTAGGGACTTAAAACAACACCCGTTTATTATCTCACAGTTCTGTAGGTCAGAAGTCCAGTGGCTCAGCTGACGTCTCGGCTTCTGGTCTCACAAGGCCAAGATCAAGGTATCGACTGGGCTCCTTTCACTCCTGGAGGCACTAGAGGAGAATCCGTTTCCATCATCACTCCCACGGTTGGCAGAATTCAGTAGCTATAGGACTGATGTCCATATTTCTTTGCCTGCTGCCTTCTAGGGGGGCTCCTTAGCACCTAGGCCTCTTTGGGGTCATTGCGAATAGTTGGTAGTCTCAGAACATGTCAGAACTAGCAACGGTACCCAAAATCCTTTTGTTTTCATACTTCTGCCTTCTCACCTTCTGCCACATTTCTATGACTGACTCTTCTGCTTTCCTCTTCTTTTAAGTGCTCAAGTGATTAGATGGGGCCCCTGGGTAATCCAGGATAAGCTCCCTATTTTAAGGTCTGTAACCTTAATCACATCCACAAAGTCTCTTTTGCCATGTAAAGTAACATAGTCGCCGACTCCTGGCAATTAGGGGCTGAAATCTTTGGGAGGCATGATTCTGCCTATCACAGTCAAGCCGTTTGCTATTTATGTCCCTCAATCCTCATCACAGTCCAATAAGGAAAGCATGGTTATACCCACTGTGTATGTGTAGAAACTGAGGCTCAGAGAGGTTTATACCACAGGTAAGAGATGGTAGAATTGGAGCTTGGCTCTTGCTTCAGAGCTTGCACGCCTTCCTCAGCTAGGGAAAGGGAACAGTGGGAGCAAAGCAATCGTATGATCTGTTCCTCTCACTGTGGTTCCCACTATGGTCTTGCTAGTGCTGCTTCCCAGCTTAGTGAAGTAGTCACCACTGTGTCCAGCACGTTTTCGGCTCTCCTCCTGGGTCCCAGGGAGGTGTGTCCACTGGGCATCAGCAAGAAAACGTCAAATGAGTGACTTAGAAGAGACTGGTTAAAGGACTGTTTACAAGGATGTGGGGATGCGAGGAGAGAAGAGGGGCTCTCAGCCAGCAATAGCGATTGCTCCCAGGTCCCTCGTTCTGGAGGGGCAATAGGAGGAAGTGATTACGAGAAAGAGAAAGGAGAAGCTGAAGGAGGGCTTCTGGGCGAGAGCTGGTGGCCTTTGATAGGGGAACACAGCCACTACCAGCCTGGCGGAGAAAAAGGTGTCAGAGTAAGTCAGTCTTGACTCCCATCCTCTGAGTTCCTGCCCTGGGCAGTTCTCAGCCAGCATCCACAGAGGGAGAGGTCTGCGCAGGCAGCTCTTGAAGTTCTGTTTTCCAGGCTCTGCAGAGTATGAAAGGGTGGAGAGTTGGTCTGAGAGAGACTCTTCAGCACAGCAGGACCACCCCTCTCCATTCCCCTGAAATTGGCTGAGACTGACTTTGCCCAGAGTCTTAGTTTTCCTAGGGCTGCCCTAAGAAATTACCATTAAGAGGGGGCTTAAAACAAGAGGAATATATTCTAGAAGTCTGAAGCCAAGGTGCCAGCAGAGCCAGGCTCCCTCTGACGGCTCTAGAGAAGAGTCGTCTCTTGCCTCTTCCTAGCTTCTGGTGAAAGTGAAAGTCGCTCAGTTGTGTCTGACTCTATGTGACCTCATGGACTGTATAGTCCATGGGACTCTCCAGGCCAGAACACTGGAGTATTGGAACTTCCTGACCCAGGAATGAAACCAGGGCCTCCTGCGTTGCCGGCAGATTCTTTACCAGCTGAGATGCCAGGAAAGCTTCTGGTAGACCCCGGCTCTCCTTGGAATTCCTTGGCATGGGCGGCAACACGTCACTCTCTGCCTCCATCCTCACGTGGTCTTCTGCTCTGCTTGTGTCCTCCCTTCTTATGAGGACACCAATTGTTAGATTCAGGGCCCAACCTAGATTTAGTATGATGTCATCTCCAGATTCTTCACTGAGTACATGTGAAAAGGCCTTCCTTCTGAATAAGGGCACATTCTGAGGTACCCAGAGGGGACGTGAGCTGGGAGGGGATACCATGGGATCCCAAAGCGTTGGACAGGACTGAACGATTGAGCACGCATGCAGGCACGATTCAACTCCCTAGAGCCAGTAAAGCGTGTCAGATCTGAGCACGGGATTTGCCACGCTCTCTTCCCCCCCGCCCTCCGTGGCAATCAGCAGCCCTGCAGACAGTGGCTGCTCCTGCAGTCTGGGTCCCGGAGTGAAGATGCAGCAGAGCGGTGCCCCAGCTGATCTACAAAGGAAGCTCAGTAAGAATAGAAATAAATGTGTCATCTCTCCTGAAGGCATCACATCTGAAGGGTTTAATGACACCGTTAAGCCCTTCACAGGTATTTCCAGCAGCTAATGCGGCTCCCCCATTCCCTGCCTTACCTAAAAAAGAACACCCTTGAATACTGGCATTACCCAAAAGGACTTTGCAGGCTCACTGTTCCTGTTAGAACCAAGTCCACTGGCAACATTTTACTGCACATCCTTCCTCTTTGAGGGCCAAGGGGTAAAAAGAGAAAGGTTTTATTTATTTATTTTATATTTATTTATTTATTTTACATTTTATTTGTTTATTTTATATTTTGTTTATTTATTTTATAGTTTATTTATTTATTTTAAATTTATTTATCTTATATTTTATTTATTTATCTTATATTTTATTTATTTATCTTATATTTTATTTATCTTCTATTTTGTTTATTTATTTTTAATGTATTTATCTTCTATTTTATCTATCTATCTTCTATTTTATTTATTTATGTATGTGGCCGCGCTGTGTCTCAGTTGTGGCACACGGGATCTTCACTCCGGCTCATGGACCCTCTAGTTGCAGCGCGCGGGCTCTGGAGCTCAGCAGTCAGACTTCATTGCTCTGCACCACATGGGTTCTTAGTTCCCCACCAGGGATCAAAACGACCTGCATTGCAAAGTGCATCCTTCACTGCTGGCCCACCAGGGAAGTCCCAAGAGAAAGATTTTACAGCCTTCTGTATCCTTAGAGGAGCAAGTTTTCTAGAAAGAAAGAAATGAAGGCTAGAGCACAGGGGTGTCCTTTGAAATTAGCTGCAGAGGGACTGTGTACATTTCAGGCTGACAGTCTCACTTTCAGTTTCAGAAGCGCTCCCCACCTGCAGCAGCTGGGACTGTCTGCTGAGGAACCTTCGTTCTCCACCAAAACCAAGACTCCCCCAGTGTGTTCATCCCTGCCCTACAACCACCAGGGCACAAAAGGACTCAAGACTCTTGTGCCTGGTGAAGTTTGCTCACTGATGCTACATGAGTTCTGCTTTTATATTTCTACTTTTATGCCAGCCTACTTTTCTCTACTACTGGCCTAATTGCTATGGGCATGGATCAGAGACCCAAGCTATCATCAGATGAGCTTTAAAAGTGACGTGGATGAACTAGGATCAGACTGCCAGACGAGACAGACGTGTGTATTTGGGATCATGAGAAAGGTTGACCAATTCCATGTGCTTTTACTCTCACTTATATGTGTGTCTTGAATGGCAGCCTGGACTTGGAGGCACCACATGCCCCCTGCTGCTGCAGCTGAAATTTCTATCGCTTTCCCCCAGTCACAGGCCCCATGAACCCCAACAGCAGGAGAAAAAGAAAAAGTTATCAAAACGCTGTGCTTAGAAGGACGGTTCTCCAAGCTTGGTATCTGGATCAGCAGCTGCCGCACACTTGGGAACTGGTTGAAATGCAAATTCTTGGACCTTACCCCAGAAACTCTGGTGTGAGGCCTAGGAATCTGTGTTTTAGGGCGTCCTCAAGGAGGCGCTGGTGCATGTGAGAATCTGAGAGCCACCAGCTTAGGGCTGGATCTCAGAAGTCAGGCGGCCTGCCTAGGAGGTCATCCATCTTGGTGAAAACATCACCAGCTCCTCTGTTCCCCTTTGACTTGGTGGGAAGGCCCACATGTAGTACTGTGGAGAATCCCCCTGCACTAATGCAGGTTGCCTACAGCAATTTCAAAATGCCCCAGGTTATTTCCCGGCCTCCGGACGTTAGGTCACAAGTGCAGCCGGGCTGAGGCGGTGCCCTGGAGACAGAATCACAGCAGCCACAGAGAAGTGTCTCTCACCTTGGGAGCAGGCTTTCTCTGATATCTCGTGGTGAAGGAGCTCATCCTCTGCCCTTCCCGAGAGAGACAGATGTGTAATTCCAAGCAGCTTGAGGACCTCTCTAGCGCTACATTGAGTGAATTGAGAAACTGGTTTTGTTGTAGTTTACCAGTGGCCTTTCTTTGTCTGTCCATCAGGGCACTTAGGACCTGAAATCTGTGCTAATCTCTTATGAGTCTCCACATATAAGATGCTGCTTCGATAAAAATGCAGAAAATTTCCATATGGTTAAAATTTCCATTGTGCTTCTTTGTCTAGAAAACAAAGTGAATAAAACCAGGGGATTCCCTGGAGGAAGGACACATTAGTACCCGTTACATCAGAAGACAAATTCAGAGGTACTCACAGGCCAGCGTGTAAAGTAGGAGAGAAAAAAATCACACTCTATCGTAATTCAGAAGAGAACGCGGTGTTCCTGTTCAACAGCTACGCTGGCTGGGCCACCTGGATCAGGTTCTGGTAAACCAAGGTGCAGGGCGCGTCTTAACCCTCTCTACCCCTAACGGGTAGGTGACATCTCTGTCCAGGGGGTACGCCTCTGAAGGCAGGAGAAGGGTTCTGGACAGGTGAACCAGTCAGACTTGATAATGGATATGTTCCCCTCCAGTTGTTTGGCTGGCTCTCTTAACTTTGTTGGCAGTACTGGAATGCCAGAGGCACTCCACTGGTTTCCGTGCACATCCCCAAATCTTGGGCACTAGGAATTTTATTTTTTGTGACTTTTTGGTGAAAAGATTGCGTTTCTCATGCTCTTCCTCCTTCCACTCTCAGAACCACCCTCACTCTGTTTTGGAGCGTGGTAGATTTGGCCCCAGAAGGCCAACTGAACATGCTTGTGGGTTTGTGCTCCAAAAGTCAGCTCGCCTCTCCCCGTCTCCCCTCTTTGGGGAGTTAAGTCTATGCTTATCCACCTTCTTTTCCCTCCCCAAAAAGTGGCTTTGTGCCAGGGGAACTGCAAGCTAGATGAAAAGCTATCAAAGCACGAAGGGAAGGAATCGATAGTAATATGTGTAAGTGCGGGTATATATCACAAGTGACAGGCTCGTTTCCATGCAAGTTAAGATATTCTCAGTGCATCTAATTGATGCCCTGCCTATCAGTGCGTGTGCGCGCGCGCACACACACACACTCTGGTGGGGATATACACAGCTGGATTCACCCTGTAGAGGTGAGCGGACAGCTGCCCACGGGCTGGGATTTGATTTTGCTCTAGAGCCCTCTCCGTGACGACCCCAGATGGCCCAGGCCTTTTGCCTGCTGGGAATTCCCACATCACTGGCGTCTTTGGATTCAGGCACTGAAAGCTGTTTAAATGCAAATTATTTTCTAGGTGGTAGAGACATTATTATTCATTAATATTTGGGCTTTAATGAGTTTATCAGCTTAGAAAAGAACAGGCCAGAGTCTTTCAGTAATAGAACCCAGAGAGACACGTTTTAATACCAATAGGTGGAAAAGACTACAGTGAAAGTGAAAGCCCGTCAGTCAGGTCCAACTCTGCGACCCCATGGACTATATATAGCCTGCCAGGCTCCTCTGTCCATGGGATTCTCCAGGTAAGAATACTGGAGTGGGTTGCCACTCACTTCTCTAGGGGCTCTTCCCATCCCAGGGATTGAGCCCTGGTTTCCTGAATTGCAGGCAGATTCTTTACTATCTGAGCCAGGGAAGACAGAGTGAGAATGAAAACACTACAGAAACCGTGACCACAGGCTCAAGGAGCCGCATGAGGACATTAGTTACACGGTAAGAAACAAGATGGAAAAAGGAGCGTGGGGAACAAGGTGGCCCCCCGAGTCCATGGGTCACTGCAGCCAGCTACTCCTAGAGATTCTTCCCCAGGAGGGTATGTTTGTAGAAACCCTTGCTGAGACACTGGTACATTTCACATTTTGCTGTAGCATCACTATTTCCCAGGATTTATTTAGCTATTCACAAAATATTTATTGAATATCTAGTACACGCCTAGACACTGAGAGTGTATGGGAACAGCGGATGGGACAGAACTGAGACCTTAAAGAGCTTGCATCTTAGTGAGAAGGGGTCTGGGGTGTGGGGAGAGACAACAGACACACTGCCTAAGGGAAGCGTGGTAGCTTAAATGCTGATCGGAGCTGTGGAGAAGAAGAACGCAGTGAGGGGCTGGGGAGGAACTGCCATGTTAAATAAGACGGTCAGAGACGGCTCACTGGAGGTGGCACTTGAGTAAAAAGTGGGTGAGGAGTAAGGAAGCCCCACACGTGTCCATGAGGAGGTCATTTCCAGCAGAGGGGAGAGTAAAAAATGCAAAATCTTGCATCAGGAATTGGTCTGGCTTATTTGAGGAAGGGCAGGGGGTGGGCGGGTGGTCAGACAACAGTGAGCAGGGGAGAATAGCAGGAATAAGGCCAGAAGGTCATGGGCGGGGGTGGGGTGGGGTCCAGTTCACACAGAACTTGCAAGACTCGACCTTTACTCTGAGTGAGAGAGTTTTGAGGGGCAGTGTCATTATCCAACCTTCAGTTTAATAGGCTATGGCTGGGGTCGGCTCGGGACGGTGCGTGCTCTGCTCAATCGCTTCAGTTGGGTCTGACTCTGTGACCCCAGGGACTGTAGCCCGCCAGCCTCCTCTGTCCACGGGATTTTCCAGGCAAGAATACTGGAGTGGGTTGCCATGCCCTTCTCCAAGGAATCTTCCCGACCCAGGGATCGAACCTGTCTGCTGCCCTGTAGGCAGATTCTTTACCACTGAGCCCCCGGGAAAACCTAGAGATGGTAGGTATCCTTAGCAGGTCATAAGGTATCTGTCGTGACTCCTTGGTGATGCCGCCATAGCAGAAGGTAAACTAGTGAGGGTGGCTGTGTTTCCATAAAACTCTATTTACAAGAACAGGTGGCAGGCCAGATTTGGCCCCTACTGATCCTCGTGTTGTTGCAATGATGCACAGGAGAGATGGAGGTGGACTGGACCAGGCTGAGGCAGTGAAGTTAGATCAGATATTGGCTACACTCTGAAGCTAGTGCCCTCAGGACTTGCTGTCACACGTGGGGTGTGACAGAAGCCAAGGAAAGTGAGGAGAGAAACCAAGGATGACTCTAAGGCATTTGGCTTGAGCACCTGGATGAACAGCGTCACCACTACTGAAACGAAGGGAGAAAACCCCGCGGGGAGCTTTGGTGTAGGACTGAGAGGAGGGTATCGGGAGTCAGTCTGGGAAGTGACAATGCAAGATGCCTTTGGGATAAACGGATCGGTTCCCTCTAACTCTCCGTCCAGTCCTCATATTCTTTGATTCCACAGCTGCAAGAGAATAAAGCCCCAGTGGCTTCTGTGCTAACTGTGTTCTTCAGAGGGACCTTCCTCTGTGTCTTACTCAGCTTTCCCAAATGCAACTGGTGATTATGCTAGCTAGAGGTCCGTGGCTGGAAGGCAGGCACATTGAAAGGGAGCAACTGCCAGCTGAAACTAGCAGGAGTGCTTGGAAGAGGAGCAGGGACGGAGTGCGTGCTGAGGAGGCTCTGAGAGCTGGAGGCAAATTCCTCTGTATCTTCGTTTCCTGGAGGTTACTCATAATGGAGGGCTGTCAGCCGACCAGGCTAAGAACGTTCAATTTGTTTTCAGAGAAAAAGCAAAACATCTTCTTCCCCTTCACCTCGGCGCCGCTCTTGGAATGGCCACACTTCAGACCCACTCGCCCACTGCGTAGACAGCCGGGGCCCCGGCGCTGATCCCCACGGCCCCTGGGGACCCTCAGGACACAGACGTGGTCTTTGCCCCTAGCTTCTGCAGGCAAGTTCCCCCCTGTTTTCTCTCCTCCCTGGGAGTTATATCCTCTGTCTGCCCGAATTCTTTCCACCCAAGAAGTGGCTCGGCGCCAGCAGGGTTGTTTGCTGTGTGGGGAGCTGGCAAACCACTCTGAGAGTGAGCTGATAGTAATATATTTAAAATATGAGCATTTATCAGAGCAGCAGATGGAGGCAGCAGAGAGGGGCTCCCAGAACGGAGGGCAGGGAGTGTTTCATTCAAGTGTGAAGCGCGCAGCATCTAGACTCAGCTGGCACCAGCTTCTGAAACCCCCGAACAGGAGGAAAACGAAGAAGGCCACCTTTGTGCTGGGCTCCAGAGGTCACAGCGTTCCCTGGCCTGCTGTCCTCCGCGCCCCAAAGGCTGCATTCACTACAGAATGGGAAGGAACACCCTTCTCGGTGGTTTTCCTTAATATGTCTCATTTCCTTAAAGCTTAGCAATTTTAATAGAAATTCCAAGCCTTGGAGCAAATGGAAATAGAGACCAAATTAATGCATTTATGTATGCGTGCATTAATGCATGCCACAAGCACTTATTACCTGCCTGGACATGCCAGGACCTGCCTGCGGCATATTCTGGGACAGTGAACCAGGCAGATGGATGCCTTCTTGTGATTCCTAAATATTACAGCTGTCAGAAGTATTTTTGTTTTAATTTTTTACCACCATCTCCACAACCCACTCTGAAAGTAAAAATATATTTAAGACCCATTTTATACACTATTTGAACTATATAAAGGAGTGCATTTTTTAGTGGAAAATTTCCTGAGGGTCCAAGTGTTATACTCAATACATTAATGTGAAAAAAATCCATGATATTAATTTCAAATTGCCTGTTTGAGAAACGTATTATTTTTATCATGTCAGGGTAAAGTAGATATATTAGGTAACACTTTGTTGTTATGGATGACTATAACTCTAATCTTCAATCTACATGCTCTTAAAGCTCTATAGTTCTTTCTATTTTGCTTTTTTGTTTTTAAAGTCATTTATTCAGCAACGTTTCTGAACATTTATTCAATTTCAGATTGCGTGATTCCCTGGGCAAGTATGATGGTGATCAATAGGCATTCTTGCCGTATATACCTGCCATTCCACACTACAGGAGGTTGGGCCAGCACTATATTCAGGGGAGCTAAGGACCGTGGAAGGAAAGAGCCAGGAAGTACCAGTGTTGGAGAAGGAGACTGTGTTGAGAATGATCAAGGCTTGAAGGAAGCTCTAGAGTTGATCAAGTCGACTAAAATTTCTCAGCAGGGCAGATGTTGCTCCCTCCAAGAGTTTGAGCATCTTAGGGGGTGTTACCATTGGTCACTGATAGGAGGCACTGAGTGGGCAAAGGTCAGAAATGCTAGGTGTTCTGCTCTGCATGATTTGATCCTACTCATAAAGACCCATCCTGCATCCAACAGGACATTTGAGTGTCCCACCAGACATTTGTCTGGGTGAAAATTTGGTTACAATTGTCTGAGCCTAATATCCAACTCACGTCACATGTAAACACAAAGTATGCTTTATCTTGTTTTAATAAAAAGTGCATTTCCAGGAATACATCTCCCTTATGAGTCAAAGAAAGATTGTGTTCTGTTCTTTTTGGAATTTTGCCAAGAGTCGTTCACCAGCCTGAGAAGTCGTATCACTGACTGTCTCATTGCTCTTGGCATTTGTGTCTCTGAAACAATACACTTGAATCGGTTCATTTGTACCTATCAGTCCCCTGTGGTTCTAGGCAAACATTTGTTATGTCTTTGAGTGTAAGTGTGCCCAAGCATATACATACAGAAACATCCATTTTATTCCATACTACTTGCGTTTTTTCCTATTACAGTTGAAGTATTATTTTGCATTTTTAAAAATTATAAGTGTAGATATCTTATCTGCAGCATTTGTTGCAAGATAGTAAAAAGCAGGATGCCTTTTAAAAATATATAAAATGGGGGCATTCCATCTCTAGGGCATGTAGACAACATGGGCAAAGTAGGTGGAAAAAGCATTCTAGGCAGTACTCTAAAATTTTAGTGTGAATAGAATCACCTGGAGACTTTGTTAAAACATGGATTCTAATTCAGTGATAAGTTCTTGGGTGATGTTGATGCTGCTGGTCCATGGGCCATACTTTGAGTGGCAAAGTATAGAAGATTGTAGATGCAAATGTATGAAGTCTTGGAGGAGTTTTTCTGGGAAACAACCAGGAACTTGGTATAATCAGAGCACACAATGTGAAAGGTTGTGAGGTGGGAAATAAATTAAAGAGGGAGGCAGGGTCAGAGCAGGTAGGACCGTAGCCACCCTGTCTTGACTTCACTCTGTAGACAGCAGAGTGCCCTGAAAGGGCTTCAAGCAGAACTGTGCAAGGTCACATCTCTGCCACCGTGTGCGATAGCTCTGTCGGATGTAGGAAGTTGTGAGAATGGCTTTCACAACTAAGTCCCATGAGAACAACAAAAATAAGGACCTGAGCTGAGGAAGCCACAGCAGAAGTGGAAGGAGGAAGACAGGTTTGATGATTTGAAGTTAGGTTTACTGGGACTTGATGACTGATTGAACACGGGGAGTAGAAGACAGGAAGGATCAAGAATGACTTTCATGCTTCTGGCAGGAGCTTCGGATGTATAATGATTCTATTATTGATGAGCATTGGGAGCAGAGAGGGATATACAAGTTTGAGGGCAATGTTTAGGGAAACTGACTTTAAGATAAATGAATTCCAAGTGTCTTCCCAGTCAAAAACCAGAAAGATATCCAGTTGAACTTTGATGTGAGGACTTTTATGGAGTATATCATGGAGAAAAAGAACACTTACCCTGTTGAAAGGAATGTAAATTTGCATAACCAATATGGAAATTAGTTTGAAAGTTCCTCAAAAAAATAGAAAAAAAAATACTATATGATCCAGCAATCAATCCCACTTCGGGATATATTCTCAAAGGAATTAAGATCAGGATCTCAAAGAGATATCTGCACTCCCATGCTCATTGTAGTGTTATTTACAATAGCCAAGGGATGGGTACAATGTAAATACAATGTAAGTGCCCATCAACAGATAAATAGATAAAGAAAATGTGGTATATACATACAGTAGAACATTTTTCAGCCTTAAAAAAGAAGAGAATCCTGCCATTTGTGACAATATGGATGAATCAGGAAGACATTATGCTAAGTGAAATAAGCCAGACACAGTGGGACAACACATGATACCATTTATATGAGGACTCTAAAATAGTCAAACTCACTGAAGCAGAGAGTAGAATGGTGGTTGCTGGGGCTAAGGAGAGGCAGAAATGGGGAAGTTATTTGTCTAAGGGTACAAAGAGAGTCCTTTGGACCGCAAGGAGATCCAACTGCTCAATCTAAAGGAAATCAACCCTGAATATTCATTGGAAGGACTGATGCTAAAGCTGAAGCTCCAATGCTTTGGCCACCTGATGCGAAGAACTGACTCATTAGAAAAGACCCTGATGCTAGGAAAGATTGAAGGCAGGAGGAGAAGGGGACGACAGAGGATGAGATGGTTGGACGGCATCATCAACTTGATGGACACGAGTTTGAGCAAGCTCCGGGAGTTGGTGATGGATGGGGAAGCCTGGCGTGCTACAGTCCATGGGATCGCAAAGAGGTGGACATGACTGAGCGACTGAGCTGAACTGAACTGATGAAGTTTCAGTTATTCAAGATAAATAAGTCCTAGAGATCTACTACTACAAGAAAAGTGCTTATAATTTATGATACTATATTATATACTTAAAAGTTTTCTAAGATGGTAGCTGTTACATGCTATTACAAAAAATTAGAAATAGTAAGAAGGCAGGAGAAAACTTTTAGAGATGATAAATTTATAGATATTTATGGCATAGATTTTGGTGATGGTTTCATGGATATATACATATCTCCAACTCATAAAGTGATATACACAAACTACGTAGAGCTCTTTTTACATATGTCAATCATACCTCAATCAAACGGTTTTTAAAGAAGCATGTTGTATTTCACTTTAATAGGCACCACTTCCTCCTACATAAGTCATACAGGGAGTGGAGGAGGAGCATGTGCAGTTCCTACAAGCGCCATGGTGGGCCAGGCCAGGTGTTATAATGCGAAGGAAAGGGGCAGCACAACATATTTATTTTATTATGAAACGTGGATGAAGTATTACAATCATCTGGGAGGCATCAGAGACTCTTTGCGATCCCATGGACTGTAGCCTTCCAGGCTCCTCTGTCCGTAGAATTCTCCAGGCAAGAATACGGGAGTGGGTTGCCATTTCCTTCTCCAGGGGCTCTTTCTGACTCAGGGATTGAACCTGGTCTCCTGCATTGCAGGTGATGCTTTACCGTTTGAACCACCAGAGAAGCTTGTAGAAGACACAGGTAGAATGATAACTCCTGCTTCCCAGGATCCATCTCTGTCTCTATCTTCTTGTTTGTGTCTCTGTCAACACACACACACGTGCACGCGCACACGCACGCACGCACACACACGCGCACATGCACGTGCGCACACACGTCCTCACGCACGCACACACACACACACGTGCACACACGCGCACACGCACGTGCACACACACGTCCGCACACACGCACACACACACACACCCCCCAGAGTCCTGTCTCTGTGTTGCCAGTTTGCAGACATTGGCATGGCAGTGAGTTTGAGGTGGCCCCTCTGAGGTCATGGGCCTGGCGTTCCCCTTTCTGGGTTTAGTTGTATCAACCTCCACAAACACCAAGAACAACTAGTCTACCTTGAGATCTGGGGTCCAGTCCTTGCCATCATCTTAAATTGCTTTATCTTATGTGATTTTATACAAAAAAAAACTCATAAATGAGAAAACTGGAGCTTGTAGAGAGAGATCAGGTCATAGGCCTGTGGTCACACAGAGCGCAGAAATGAGGCATCTAGCCTGGATTCCGCGTCCTTTCTTAGCAGCCTGTAATTCTCTTCCGCTAACCCTCCCAGCCGCAGCTAAACAGTGGCTGCTCCCTAACGCCCCATGCCGAGTCACACGGCGGCACACTTCTGCTTGGACTCCCCCGTCTGATAGTCAGCTGTCAAAGTCCTGCCTAGTGTATGTCGGAACTCTACCCAGGGACCCCTGTATCTGTGGGCGCTCTCCTGGGCCTCCTGTCTCGACGCCTGGACACATCCTCCTCCAGCACGCACCAGGCTTCATTGTGATGATGTGTTTTCACACCCTTCCCGCTGTCCCGGCTGTGGGCTCCTGACTGTGCCAGTACATATAGCTCCAGTAAGGCGTTCTGAACCAAAGTGTTGAGTGCAGTCATTAGTGAGTTCTAACCAAATGTTACTGGACATAGTCGAGCCTGGGAAGAGCACACCAGTTTCTACAGAATGCGAACACTAGAAATGAGCAAAAAAAAAAAAAAAAAATCGAAAACAAGGCTTGGAAAATCATAATCTTTGAACATATTATTTATGCATAAAACTTCTAATGAATGTCTTCTTCTCCTGTAATCCTTCACCATTAATAGTAGACTTACTTATTAAGTTTAGTTTATTGGGAGTCAATATTTAATTTAAAAATTTAATTCTTATAAGGGTTTTAATAAATAACATGTAATAACTGTCAATGATATTTTAGCAAATAAAGCACATAATTTTTAACATATTTAATTTTTAATAAAATGTAATAGAAAAAGTACTCTATATGCAACTCTACACCTTGAACAAGTTTTAGGTCTAATCCTATCCTTGTCTCTTTGTATTGCTCATTCTATAGCTTTCTCTCTCTTTCTTCCCACTATTATTTCTTCAGTAAGGTTCATGTGAAAGAAGATGGACTGTCTTCAGGCCTACAATAAAGTGGGGGAAAACAACAATGACTAAAGAAAAAAAAAAAGTTATTTTAATATTTAGGAAGATATAAAAATTTCTACAAATAAACATTTTAATGTTTATGTTTAAACATTAAATTCCATTTTTTCTGTAGCCTTTGGTTAATTTTATTATAAATTAACATGTATTTAAAATATCTACAATGCTGTCTTCCTGGCTTTTGTGATTCAGAAGAGGTTCTGGTGCTTCGGGGCATACATACACACACACTTTCATATTAATATCTCCAAAAGCATTTAATTAACAGAAACACACTACTGTATATAAAATGTCAATAGATAACCAACAAGGACCTACTTTATAACACAGGGAACTAGATTCATTATTTTCTAATAACCTATAATAGGAAAGAATCTGAAAAAGAATATGTGTGTGTGCGTAGTTTCCCTGATGGCTCAGTGGGTAAAGATTCTGCCTGCAATGCAGGAGACACAGGAGATATGGGTTTGATCCTTGGGTCAGGAGGATCCCCTGAAGGAGAAAATGGCAACCAACTCGAGTATGTTTGCCTGGAAAATTCCATGGACACAAAAGCCTGGCAGTCTATAGTCCTCAGGGTTGCAAAGAGCCGGACATGAGTGAGCATCTGGCATAAATATATGTGTATACATATATATATAGTTATATACATACTATATATATAACTGAATCATTTTGCTGTATGCCTGAACCACTGTAAATCAACTATTACTTCAATTAAATAAGTGAATAAAGCAAAAATCAAACCAAACCAAATCCAGTTGCAAACTAATGTCCTTAGCAACGAAGCTCAAATAGTAAATTGCAAACTTTCACTGTCAACTTAAAAAATAACTCCCTAAAAGCGTGTATCAGAATCTCCAGGGACCAGTCACTCAGATAACCTCAGGTTACATTAGTGTATCATGCAAGCATGTTTCTCAAGCTGAGGTAATCCTCCAAGGATTACGAGAGTTACTGGCCAGGAGTTATGGGAAGCAACTGAAAAAATATGTGACATATCTCCCTAAGATATTAATTTAAATTAATGGGTTGGACATCATACTTATGTAAAAATCAGTGCAGATATATTAAGGAGGAGAATGCAAATTTCTCATGAAATTTTAAAGATGAAAAATAATGAGACCACAAAGAAACGCTGAACTTGTGATCAGCTGCATGGACTCCATCCCGGACTGCTAGTAGGAGACAGGCTCTTCTTTTCTTTGGTTAAGCGGAAAGGTCAGAGAAGTATTGCTTAGGACTCACACACAAATAAGGACAAACTCAAGAGCTGCACAACAGTTATGTTGGAGATTGGAACAGTGTTCAAAAAACAGGGAGCTGAAAAAAAAGTCCAGGATGGCTCTAGCAAATGGATCATCTTGACGTCACCTCAGCAGCAGACTGTCTCATCCTCTGCCCATAACATAGCTCTAAAGGACTACGTCGACAGTCCTTACCCCCACCAGCCAGACACCCTCTCCACTCTTCTGTATATCTTTTGGTTTCTCTAAAAATTTCAGTATACCCAGCGATCTTTCATATCCTTTATAGTCCATTTTCTTCCTGTCCATCTTTTGTTCTGTTCCATCTCCCAAATGCTCAAACCAATTTGCGTATGACATGAGAAACTCTTCAAAAGAGGGACCATAATTCCTTCAATTAGTTACCATTACATTAACCCTATTTTGATACAGATTCTGTGCCAAGTTGCCTCGCAGAGCACCAGCGAGCTTACACGTCAAGTTCGGCTCCCACTTCTGGGGAGGCTGTCTGTTGTTCTGTCAGGGGAGTAACAGCTTTTGGATGACTAAAAACATGTCAGCTGACCAGGGTCACGTTTCTGCAGGAGACCGTGGAAGTCTGTCATGGGCATTCTGATGCTTGCCTTTTCCAAAACAGGCTCCTAAACGATATCAGAAATGGATGCCTTTGGAAGGATTAACAGCTGATAAAACAAGATAAAGGTCTGAAGCCTGTTCATTGACACATTCTGGGTAAACTTACACAGAAATTTAAAGAACAGAAAAATTGTTTGAAGAGACCATGTATGTAACGCAGGTATTCTTTCTTATTTATTTAAAATAATTTTTTCCTCTTTTTTTTGTATTTTAGTTACAGAGGGTTGAGTTAACCACACTCCTTAGTTCCCAGCCCACCAGCCGTACTGGTCTGAGAAAAACCTCCCTTGGTTGATTTATTGGTTAATTGGAATCCTCTCCACAATGTCTCTGACAGATGTTTTAACCCACTTCGGGAGCTCACTATCTCTAAAGGGAGCAGCTAATACCCATGTATAGAGCCCTCCAACTCTTAGATAATTCTTTCTTACATTATACCAAAAATAGGTTTTCTATAACTTTGCCCCAATGTTCCCAGGTTTTTCCTGTAGAATCATACAGAAAAAAAATCAATTCTTTCCTCAACTGATAGCTTTCCAACCCCACCAAGTCAGCTATCATGAAGAAGTAAATCTTCACTTTTCTATATGAGATACATTCTACTTCTTGAGTCTTCACTGACATAGTCTTAAGACACTTTATGACCTAGTCAACTTCCCTTGGACAAACTCTAGTTTGACAATGACTTTTTAAAAAACAGGTGTTTAAATATCTTGAAATTGATGTGCTCTGCCAATGCAAAATATAGTGAGTGTAACACTCCCCCTCTCTTCCTTAATTTCAATTTCTATTAATGCATACTAAAATTTGTGTTAGTTTTTTAAAAAAATAATACCATATTTTTGACTCTCTCTGAACTTTATATCTTTTCAAGTGAACTGCTGTCAGCCCAGAGCTTTTCCACCTTATATTTAAGTAGTTGATTCTTTGAACTTAGATGCAGAACTTAACATTTAACCCTATTAAGTTGTATATCATTAATTTCATTCCACCTTTCTCCTTTGTCAAGGTCTTTTTCAAGTTTGATTGTTTAATATGGTTTATCAGTTTTTGCTCCAACTTGGAATCCACCTAACTTACTGATTAATATATTTGAGATTTCAGAAAAGAGAGCAGAGAACTTTGGTGTGGCTTTCAGATTTTAGTGTACAAAAAATTATCTGGAACATTTGTCAAATAGGCAGATTGCCAAGTCTCATTTCTGGAAACTTTGACTCAGTCAGTGTGGGATGGGGCCTCAGAGTGCATGTCTAACAAGCACCGCATGTGATCCTGACGCTTTGGCCCTGGAGCACACTTTAGAAACGTAGAAATTTCCTTTAAGTCTGAGTTGACATAATGTGTTCATTCATTC